CACACACACACACACACACACACACACACACACACACACACACGCGCGCTCACACGTCCAAACACACACACACACACACATCCTCTATCTCACCTCGAGGCCAGCGTAGACGAGTGCGTACGCGACGTACCCCCAGATGCCCCACTCATCCACGGCGCTGATGAAAAAATTCAGGAGCACCCGGATTGGCTCCCGCAGAACGTAGCCCCCGCACCCTATCGCCGCGAGCCCGCAGGCCATGCCTGCTGCCGCCGCCACCGCCCCGGCCACGCCACTGCCACCGCCGCCGCCGCCGCTGCGTTTGCTGCCTTCGGGGCGCGGCGCGCCGCCGGCCGCCTCGCTCTCCAAGGTGCGCAGGAGGAGCCGCTCTGCCGGCGAGGGCGGCCGGTCGCCTTGCCGCCGCCGCTGCTCTTGCGGTTGCTCCTGCTGCTGCTGCTGCGGCGGCGGCTGCTGTGGGGACGCGTCGCCACGGCCGCCGCTCCCGCACCCCTGCTCGCTGCTGCTTGCGCTGGCACCATCCTCAAAAGGCGCGGAGCTGCGAGTGTTGAAGAGGCACCGGCTTGCGAGCGTGCCAAAGCGTGCGAAGCGTGCTCGGCAAGGCGGTAGCATGCATCGCCGCGCGTGCGTCGTGGCGGCAAAGTGGCAGAGCGGCAAAGCAGGTGCGCGGTGCACAGCAGGGTTCCCACCTGTCTGCGCAGCGGGCGCGGCGCAGCGGCGAGCGCGGCCTGCTGACAAATTTGCAGGCGCCGCTGCATCGCCGCAACGTGTCTGGCCCTGCTGCCCCACCAGAGCGCGGCGTGGGTCGCGAGACCTGATGCACATGCATGGAGGGGTCTCATCAGGGGTGGGGGGCGCCAAGCAGCGCGCATATTCGTAGATGCAAGGCAGAGCGGCGATGCACACCAGATGCCAACGCGGGCTCTCACCAGCCGAGGCATCCTAGTAGCCGTGCCAATGGTCCAGCCCGTCCCTAGGGCGCTTTGTTTCATACTTGGGACGTGCTGCCAGCCCGATCCCAGCGCCTGGCAACTTTGCGCTTAGTTGAAAGCGCAGATCCTTCCAACGCCGCTGCAAACGGTTGCAAACCCGATGTTTTACCAATATAGACTGTCTCACCCTTCAGTAAAGGGTCGTGGGCTACGGGCAGCGGTCGAGGGCAAGAAATATTCAAGCGTGAGGCCTCCTTTGTAGCTATGTTATGTTCGGAACATTTATGGACGCGAAATTCTCGCTGTGGGAACGGTGTCGGCCACCGCCGCTAGGTTTTCAAGTCGCGACTCACCCTGTTTTGGCGGCGTGGCCCGCAGACCACCCTGCTCGTGCTGCAGTGGGTACGAGTGCATCAGCGGCCACGCGATTGCCTCAGTGGACCCGCAGCCACGGCTTGTATTTAATCTGGGCGTCCGCCGGAGCTGCAGTGTGCGTGGTGCGAAAGCCCGGCTGGCACAACACTCAAACACGCGGCGGTGGCCGGGGACGCACCAGCCCCTGCTTGGCTCGATGTGCATGTCGAGCAGTCGCCCCTGTCGGCAGCGGGTTGCAGAACGATATGCAGTCATGGCCGCGACGTCGCTGTCGGCCGCAAAAGGCCGGGTTCGTGTCGTACCGCGCCAGCACGCCGCTGGTTGATGGGTGCATCCAGCAGCCCGCTGCTCGCCCCTGGTGTTGTCCCCCCCCTCAGCCGTCATACACAGAACTGGTGCCACCTGACCATGGAACCACAAGTGCGCTCCCAGCCCCAATCAGAGTTTATAAGTGCGGATTCGAGCTAGGTGGAAGTCGCCACATGGGCAAAACATACAGACGCCACCAGCAACCAACTGCAGGTGGCCGATATACGCTGGCACTACAGGCACGATAAGCTGAGTGCAAACAGGGTTCTGCACTACCAACAGGCTTACGAGGGGCGAGAAATTCGTATACTGAGATGTTGTGTTGCCTGGACCTGGCCGAAACAAACTGGCGTACGGCGTGCAACAAGTCGCCAGTCAGGTGGCCGTCGCGGCTGGGCAAGAAACTAAGTCGGCTGTGGTCGTCTCGCAGACACCACCTTCCGTTGCTATCCCAACCATTGACATCAGCTAGGGTACATGCACACACCCACACCTTAAAAAACTGGTCGGGGTGCTCGCGCAGGCTGTGCCTGCTCCAGGTCCAGCGCCGTTGACCTGCCAAGGAAACCGACGGTGTCGTCCGTGAAAGGCACTACGTATATACCGCATTACATCTGGACGCCCGATTTATCACTTGCAACCTGCTACAATGTCGGTCGCTTGCAGTCGCGCCGCGTCGAAGACGTCCGCCAGGCCGATCCCGGTGATCTGTGCTCGGCAGCCGCGCGTCTCAAGGGTTTCTGTCCTCAACGTGGCAATTGGCACCGCCTTTGTAAACCTCTCCAGGTGTGCTGCCGCCGGAACCAGCATTCAGGTTCATGGGAAACTCACAACAGCAAGAATTAAACGCGCATCGAGAATCTGTGATCAATTCCCGACGCGTTGCGCCGCAGGCCCGCAGTTGCCACCGCTCCGGCCGCCGCTCGCCGCGACGCCTCCAGCCGCTCCCAGCGCATGTCTGTGGTGGCCATGGCAGGTCTGCTGCAGCGCCGCCTTCGACTGTGACAATCCCCATTGCGTAGCATGGCGTTCATGAAAGTGCGCCATGCGCACCGGGTGTGCCGCAAGGGTCCCGGCCTCCAGACGGTCACTGCGTCAGCAGCCGACAGCTCGGCATGAACCGTCAAACTTCATCCGGCCGCCTCCGCCGCGCGCTCATTCAACTGCCACCGCCACAACGCAGCCGCTGGCGCACCGCGCATTTCACAAGCCCATCATCGGCCTCCAATCATTGCACCAACCACCCCGACCCCCTCCGCGGCGCCCCAACCAATGCCCGCGCTGTGTCCCCTCCCTCCCAATCCGCAGCCGCCGCGCAGCGCCGCGCGCTCGTGTCGGTGTCGGACAAGTCGGGCCTGGACAAGCTGGCAAAAGGCCTGTCCGCGCTGGGATTCGAACTGGTGTCTACGGGCGGCAGCGCCGGGGCGATCGAGGCGGCGGGGGTAGCTGTGAGGAAGGTGGAGGACCTGACCGGCTTCCCCGAGA